TCTGAAAACACTCAAGGTTTGAATTTCTGCATTTAAATTAGACTAAAAACACAATTAAATGTATAAATTTAAACTCCATTCATACCTACCCTGTTAATGTAATTAACATCAAATACTGAACAACAGAATGCAGCGAAAAACATCTGCAATCAGTACAATTTGTGTTTTAAATTGTCCTATTCCAAAAGGAGCATATGGCGTGAGCTCAGCTAAAGATGGTCGGAAAGTGAACCTCATTTGCAATATTAATTGAACCATGAGTTCACATGGTAATATGACGACTGATAATGAAGGAGTCGCTCCATACAATGGGGCAAGTAGGAAAAATAGACTTCATTCAAATAAACTTGTACAGTATTATACTCTGTATTAATATCCTAAGAGCGAGACAGTTTAACCGATTGAGTATCGTGCTAAAATAATTCAAACCGGCACTTATAATTAAATGCTATCATATGGAATGAATAAAAACCTAATATGGAATAAATACTTAATCTGTGAATGTTATACATGAACACAGTGATAGAATTTGTATCGCATGCGATGTTGACACACCATAACCGTTTTTAAGTTGAAAAGAAATACATTTCCGGAAATGTTCACGAGTAGATAGACTTGCGATTTATTTTAGACAGGGAGTCTCATTGTCTTATAATGCATGTGGATGGATGTACATACACTTATTAACAAATGTTTGGTGGTTAAAATTTAAGTTACAGTTTTTTCACAAAACAACTGGTAGTCATTTGGTTAAGGTTGCCCAATGGAGGGCTAAAGGAAGTTTTTTTATAAATTAGTTTTTCTAATTCATTAACATTCTATAACCATAATTGTGCTTTTTTTTTTCGTGATATCCTCCAGCCGACTCTACAAATGGGCAACCACTAATTATTATTAAATATATTCCAAAATCAGAGAATAATTTTGGAAGAACTGGAGGCCTCGAGACTGAAATATTAGTAATGTATTTTGATTCTGATATTCTGTTTCATTTTTTTGTACACATGCAGGTTTTATTCTCGATCACAAGAATAAAAAATAAAATGCATGGTTGATTTGAATGGCTGGTACACGTCGCATGACCAATGCCATGCTAGGATTTCTCAAAAAAAAAAACATGGTTTCCTAGCAAGTCTCAACATGTACATGGTATCCCTGCTACTGACATACATCATACAATCACTACTCGCTACCTAGGAAAGATTAAACCATTAGCGCCATGGTTTAACGAAAAAGAAGAAAAAGAAAAAAGAAGGACTAAAAAAGTGTTGACATGTAAAATGAAAAATGTCGGCTCAGCATCTTGCTGTGGTATTATAAATTAACTCTATGGTAGTCTCTATGCATGCTTCTAATTACAACGATGTTGACAGAGTTTGCACAGTTTGCAGAGTGGGGTGGAGTCACTACAGAATATAATTCTTAGTTCAAGACCTACTTCCCTTCCCATTTTAATACTCAGATCCTTCCTCTCAGCGAGCATAACCATTAGTCTTTCAGCAAGAAATCATTCTTCATGACATTTAAAAAACTAGCTGGAGATTGAGAACCAGTGATCACCAAGAAAATAATTAGTGAGCTCTATTTTAATTTATTTATTTACCACCCAACCCTACCCTCCTCCTCAGGGCCTCCAACCGGTTCCCATATATACAAACAGTTCATATTATTCACACTACATAATTCATGCGTCTAAGGGTCTACCATTGAATTAAAATGTTTTGACAATTAAACACGCTGGCTGTTCTTTTCTTCTCTAATTCACTCTCACTTCTATTGTTCTCTAAATGGCCACTACTGTGCACCTAATTTATTCCCATTCTACACTCTATCCCGTGGCTCACGACGTAACCACGGTCATTTTTGTACTACCTGGTGTAAAAACATTACTGTCTCATTTACTGCTAGAGTTGAACAAAGAAACCGAACTTACGAGGCAGGGAAAGGAGTTTATAATCTATCGTAAATCTGGTGTTAACAGGGAACATCTGTTGTTGCGGTAAAACTAAGACATCAGTAAATGTTGAGACCTATTTTGACTGATTCAGCCCCCAACCCTCCCATTGTGGAACAGAGTTCATTTGGGTGGAAGACATTACATTAAACAGCTTTTTTACTGCATCTGATAATGATGAAAATTTGTATGTGCACAAACCGAAATATTCAAATTTCCCTGCTTCGAATATTAAATTGATATACCAGTTCAACTGATGTGAGAAAACTATTTTCCCTTATCTGAATTTGAGAAAATAGCTTGCAATTTCACTAATGACTTGCGATAAAATGCCATGACATATGGAGTCAAATTAAGAACACAGTAATGTATTTTTATAATTTTTTTTTTCACAAGATTACATTTGTGAGTAAAGTTCTTAATACTATTGGGATTTGAGATCATTATATCACAGTACAGTATCCTTGGGTAAGCTTAAATGAGATGATATTCCCTGTATCAATATCAAAGCATCATGGCCCATGTACGACTGCTGAATCTCCATGGCTGGAGTCACTACCTACATTTTATATACATTCCAATATTTCTGTCCATCGGGCGAGCAAACACTGGTAAGTTTTGACCATGTTTTGCTTAAACTATAGTAATTATAATAGATTTATTTTGGTACAAGTTTCTGATACATTTTTCAGTAGAGGGGTGAAGTTACTTTTCTGAAAGGAACGTTTGGAGTGTCATTATTTGTCTTGCCACCATTTTGATCCTAGACCAAATTTTCAGTTTATTATGCAGATTTACTTTGCAAAAAGTGATAAAAGTTTACTTCAAAAAAGTTAAATCAGACTCTTCTTTTAGATTGTTTTTGTGAAGAATATGCAAAAATAATAAATTTAAAATGTAAAAGATTTATTGTAGTAAAAAAGGTTGATTTATAACAATTGAATACCCTAACACAAAATTTTGGTACTTATACTCTAAGAGCTATGTGATTGTTGGGTATGCCAGCCCCAGCCAAAAGAAGAAAGCAACACCATCAGTACGTATACTGAAAATGAATCATATTAATCCATGTCATTTTGAAATCTTGGGCAGCAGATCAGAATTTGGAGTAAAATTCCTGAATAGCAGAAATCTCCAAAGTTGCATGAGACACACACTCGTTGGGCAGGGGTTAAAAACTTGAAATAGACCTGGTGTGCCAACCTATAACTTATGTTAGCAAAAATGAGGAAGCAATGTTCACAAACTAGATACAAAAAAGTTGAATAAGTAAATCTATTCACAATGAAACCATTAAATATTATTCTGACAATTTTCAACCAACAAATATACAAACTCTCAATTTTGGCCATGTAATTGTAAAGACCCCTGCTAGCGTCTTTGTCCAGCAACTGGACTGGCGCCTTTTTTTGTTTTCTCAAAATCAATTGGGCAGAAACAAACAAAGTGACCCCCCAACAACAACAAGATTTGTGAATACTACTAAAACAGTCTGTCTCTCAAAATGATTAGATTTTGGCTTCCAGAACTGCGAACAAGTCACTAATCTGCTGATATCCACACCAATTCAATTTGAAAAAAATCCCAGTTCAATGCTCACTACTAAATATCCACATTTAGTGATACTAAATTGGTAAATTTGTTTTACAAAATCTAGAGTAAGACCTCTAACGAGAGATATGACGTTCACACAAAACTTATCTACATGAGCTTCATAATCAATCATATATCACGGCTTAATTATTTTACAAATTGAAATTTTCCTGATAACTATTCATCCAACTAGGAGTGCTTCACTTAGACCTGGCCATTTTTGTGCCAACTGAAAATTCTTATGAATGCTACGAAGCGCTCTCTTCAACGCTATGGGAAATAATTATGAGGTCACATTCCATGTGGAAATTCAAATTCTGGTGACCAACCATTGTCATAATAAAAAAAGTCAATCACCATGGTAACACAAGAGGCTGTTAGAATGTAGAAATCACACTGTAGACAGCAGATGATCATTTTTGTAAGAGCCAGACAATTTCTTTGTATTCCTGTTTTTATGTCATTAAGGAACATTCTAAAATGTGCAAGACTGTCTTTTAAATCATGAAAAAAAAAAAGAGTTTCCAATTTGTTTTCAATTGCACCAAAACTTAAATGAAAATAAGATGGTACAAAAGTAAACTATTATTTGTTCTTTTAATTTTTTACGTCCAAGCGATCCTTGAGGCATAGCAATCTGTCCCATGCACCTTCAATTTTAGCTGTTTTTACACTCTTCCAAAGTGGTATTAACTTATGGATGTGTTGGTCCACAAGTTTACTTTATTTTGGAGGAAACACAGTCCTCCCCGCTGGTGGCAATAATAATCAGTATAGTTAACAATAACATATTATGTTTACCGTGAAGTCGAATATCGTCGCTGGACGCCTCAGTGAATTCGATGCAAAACTTCATTATTTCGCGGGCATGCACTTCTGATCGATCGAGAACAGAAACTGATTCGACAAATCAAGTTATTCCACGTAGAAACAAGCGAACCAGCGTCCAACAACATAGACACAAAGACACTCAATAATCAAGCCGAAAGCAGTTTCACGAAAACCAGTAGGCCTCCTCTTACAAACACTCATTAACTGAAACCCAGCAACTTCACATAAAAAGGTGACATCTTTCAACGAGCTCCCCTCTCTCTCTCACTTGCCTTCGATCTCTCACGCTCGCACTATCCCCTCTTACACAAGTTTCTTCCCCAATCCAAAGCCCAAACACAAACGATACTATCCCTATCAAAATTCCACCCTGACAGTGATTACTTCGTAGTTTGTATCGAAAATTGATAAACATAGTGGCGATTATCAGCATTCCCAGCCTCAATAATACAATGTAGTATTCACAATCAACCATCAAAAAACTCATAGAAGCTTTTCAGCATGGAGAGTCAGTGTACACAGCGCATAGACACCCTTATTTTCGAGCCGCTCTTTCTCTCCCGAAATCACCGTAGATCATCACAAAATCGCACAGGCGGGTGCTACTTATAAAGTTCCTTACCTTGGAGTGACTTCTATGACGAAACTCAGCCAATAATCCACAGTATTTGGGTATTTTCCAAGAGAATTGAGAGGAAGCGCACTGAGTTAAAGAGCGGTACTCAATGTCTGTGTGTCGTGTCAGGCAGCCGGCGTTAAGAGCCTGCCAATCACTCCCCGGTGGGCGGGGCATGTTTTATCCAAAACGCCCATTTCACGCGCACTTTACGTCCAATACAGTCCCAAAATATCTTTGTGGTCTCACTTCCTGTTACTAAACAGAAATCGAACCAGAATATGCTGGGAAATCCTTTTTAACGATTGCATCTTTGTACGATCTGTTCTGGGGGCTTGGCATTGCTGAGCAGTACGCCCCGGGGGCTTCATTGTTAGTCTGCTAGATTTTGACAGGGGTCTTAAAAATAAACCAACCAAAAATAAAAGCGAGAGTGATCATGTAATTTTGAAAGAAACTAGACGACAATGCTGTATTTGCCTTGGTGAAGAGTAGATGGCCTGGTCGCGTTTTTTTCTTTATGATATTTATAGATTGTGCGTATGAGTGTCTGGTTGTATGCATGGTTTGCCTGATTTGTACACGGGTTTTGTGCTGTCTATTCATACCATGTAGCCGGGTAATAGTCGACACACGTCTTTATCCAGTTAGCAAACAATACAGCGCGAACGTTGAACAGTAATTCATCGTAATGACTTCTACAGAGAACTTCGTGTATCTTAGCTCAACTAACAGAATACTAGATTGGTGTGGGAAAATGTACTTAGCTAGTATACGGAGGCGTTTTATTTTAAGTACATGGGGGTACGGTAGGAATGTGTACGCCTAGGAATTCGACACAAAGCCCGTTATCACAGTCTACATTGTCGCAAAGATTATTTAGCGCGAGTAAACAAACACTTCGGTGTATTGTTCTTTTTCACATGTATTCATCATTGAAAGCCGAGAACGGGAACAACTCTTAAATTATTCGAGCACGACCTGCTCAAAATCGTAGCGTACCGGTCCTGGTAAGGTCTGCAAGTGCTTGGCATATTTTTCAAAACATTCCAGACGTGTTTAATCGCTGTCCCATTTAATACTTTAATAGTTTCACCATGCCAATCAAAATGTGCGCATCATTTATCAGTCACCTGCCACGGCAAGATTTTTTTAAATGATTTTTTTACGGGGGTCGCGAATGAATCCATCAAACAAATGCAGAAACAATCAATTTTGTCGGTTTCGACCCCGGTGACCTAGAAGTCAAGGCGTTGACCGCAAGCCCCTCGCTACCTCTTTATAAGCTAGGAAAACGAATGAAACCACATGGCGAATAGAAGCGAATAAGGCGCGTGTCAGTTATAACAATGCCGGCAAATGTGTTCTGGCGTAAAGTACCATCATCGGACGAGATAAAACCTTCCACTGAGAAAATCGTTTCGAAGCATTTTTATTATTATTGTATTGTCGTTAGTTGTGCATGAACAACATTTCAAAAAAAATATAATTATACTAATACACATCCATGATCGCCAGATAATTGGAACAATTGTGCCTATTAAGTAGTCCTACAATTCAAGTCAATCAACGAGTCTCGTGCAAGACACACTTATATAAGTATGTTCATATATATATAGTTAGCAATTTGAACCATTAGAAAGTACTTAAAGGTCACATCTCTCGTATGTTTTTTATGATATGTATAAACAAACATGTTGGTGCCTATGCATCTTCCATTATTTATGTATGTCGGATTTCACTGCCGGGAAAACAACGTTATGTGCAGTTTGCAGCTATTGTACGCAATTTTAATGTAGTCCAAATATTTTTTTTAAATATTTCAAATTTGAAACATGGTGGAACTTATAAAATGCCTCATTAGGCGGCCCCGCATTAAGGGTGAAATACTGGCAAAGTATGTTCGTAGCCCCAGGGAGTTTAGAACAACGCGCCATTAAAGATCCAACATTACAACTAATAATACCACAAGCTATAATGGTCGTTTTGTTTATCATTTCAAAAATCAAGTATGAAACTTTCAGTGCAAGTGGAAAGCGAACACACAACGTTGAGCCATTATCTGTCTTTTGCGTGAAGCAATAAACCATCCACTAGTATTGTATTGTACTAATTGATACGTAGCAGAACCACGCCCTCTTCTTAACGCGAATTGTTTTGTAGTGACTGACTGCAAAACCATTGTTTCTAGGCCAACTTCGGTAACGAACGCAATATGGTAAACCACGGCTACCAACCAAGTACAAACAAAGACATCGATATATACATAATTATTTGATAATTAATTATCCACGTTTGTTTATTGTTATTAATTATATTAGACCGAACCTCAAATTTGACCTCCACACGAGAACAGTTCCGACAGCAACGACTTGTGATCCCTGAACAGACGAAATAGACGGCATCAGTCCCAGCTG